AAATTAACAAGTCAGGAAACAACAGATGTTGGCGGGGATGCAGAGAAAGGGGAACCCTTCTACACTGTTGGTGGGAATGCAAGCTGGTGCAGCCACTCTGGAAAACAGTATGGAGGTTCCTCAAAAAGTTGAAAAGAGCTCCGTATGACCCGGCAATTGCACTACTGGGTATTTACCCCAAAGATACAAATGCAGTGATCCAAAGGGGCACATTCACCCCAATGTTTATAGCAGCAATGTCCACAATAGCTAAACTAGAGAAAGAGCCTAGATGTCCATAAACTGATGAATGGATAAAGAAGATGTGGTATATATAGACGATGGAATATTATGTAGCCATCAAAAAATGAAATCTTGCCATTTGCAATGACGTGGATGGAACTAGAGGGTATTATGCTAAGCAAAATAAGTCAATCGGAGAAAGACAAGTATCATATGATCTCACTGATATGAGGAATTTGAGAAACAAGACAGAGGATCATAGGGGAAGGGAGGAAAAAATGAAACAAGATGAAACCAGAGAGGGACACAAACCATAAGAGACTCTTTATCTCAGGAAACAAACTGAGGGTTGAGTGGAAGGGGGTGGGAGGGATGGGGTGGCTGGGTGATGGACGTTGGGGAGGATATGTACTATGGTGAGTGCTGTGAATTGTGTAAGACTGATGAATCACAGACCTACCCCTGAAACAAATAATAGCTTATATGTCAATAAAAAAAATTTTTTTTTTAAAGAAAGAAGAAAAAAAGTCAAAACTAGAAAAAAATTCAGGGAGGGAAATCTCTTATTTCTCCTAGTAAAGTCATTTTAAAATTTAAAAAAAAAAAAAGATCATTTGTATACAAAAGGCTGAGAGGGGTGCCTTGGTGGCTCAGTCATTAAGCGTCTGCCTTCGGCTCAGGTCATGATCCCAGGGTCCTGGGATCAAGACCAGCATCGGGCTCCCTGCTCAATGGGAAACCTGCTTCTCCCTCTCCCACTCCCCTTGCTTGTGTTCCCTCTCTCGCTGTCTCTCTCTGTCAAATAAATAAATAAAATCTTTTTAAAAAATAAATAAAAGGCTGAGAACCATGAGAGAATATTTATGTCCCAAGTTATTTCCTGAAATTATCTTTGAAGTACAATTTTGAGTCAACAAGCCTAAATACCGTAAGGTATTTGAGGAGTGGCAGAGAAGGGAGAGATTTTGGGAGGATTTCCAGAAATCTTAATTTTAACCTCATCCAGATGAAGGCAGTAAGAAAGGAAGGGTATGACAAGAACCTCAAAGAAGCTTTAATTTAAAAAAAGAAAATAAGTGGTGAGCATTTGGTAATGCATATAATTGTCAAATCACTATTTGTACACCTGCAACTAATATAATATTGTATGTCAACTATACTTCAATTAAAAAAAAAATGTTGAAGGGCAGACATTCAGTCTTACCAATCCTGGTAGTTTTAGTAAGCCCTAAAATTGGATTTCTTACTCATGAGTACAGCAAGTAAAACAAATATTTGCCCAACACTGTTCCATGTGTCCAGGGCCTAAAACAAATAATGTAACAAGTATAAAATAAGTAAAAGGAATTGCAGTTTGCCTTTGCATTTGTTTTAATTATTATCCTCAGACAGTGACCTCAAGAGCATCTTGGTATCCCCATCCCTAGCCTAGTGCCATGGTCCATAAATACTCTGACCCCACGCAGCAACTGTTTCTGGAGCAGAATATGAATAACACCAGAAAGAATATTAAAAAGTTAGTAAAATGAGGAAAACAGATGCCTGACCATATTTTTTAACCAAAAGCAATTCAGTTCATTTCAAAAATTAAGCACTACTCAGCGGAGCTCCAATTTGTTGTCTTAAAGGCCTCTTCCTCTGCAAATCAGTATGCTTAGTGGGAGGGAAAAATACCATTCCTGGGATTCACTGAGGCTCAACTCTGGGAGGTGTCATTCACACAGAGTCTGTGTGAATGGCACCCTCTGGGGTTGTGTAATTTTACAACCTACAAGCCCCACCATGGCAGCCCTGCTTGTTCTTGGCTCCACATTAACATGGGCTTCGATGCTGAAATCTGAAAATGTTCAGTTCTTTCTGCAGACAGTTGTTCATGACAACAGGGATGAACCTGCCCAGCCCCCCAGCCTCACTCTTTTGTCCTCCCTGGGGATGGGCTGCACAACAGACAAACGGCCGCCAAGCTTGTGTGGACTTGCCTGTGGGAAGTTTTCTGGAAAGACTATCATGAATGGTAATGCATGCTGTCACCATCCTTTTTATTATTTTGTGTCCCACTGGGAAGTTTGTTCCTTTGAGTCTGGTTCTGAAATGTAGCAGGACAGTGGAAACCGATTCCCGAGTAGGCTCACCACACCCTTCCTCTAATCAGTCATGACAAAGGGTGATTACCTGAGCAGCATGAATGAGTGGGTGAGTTCCTAGTTCTACCTGACAGCAGGGTCTAAAGGACCAGAAAGAACAGAGGTAGAAGAAGAGGAATCACATGTTACCATAGCAAATAAGGAAACTCATGAGTAAACAGGCTGTGATTGAAATTACCATATTATTACAGCCTAGGAAATAAACAGAAATTCTTCCTTTTCTTTCAGGGCCATGTTGGAGGAATTCCTTCCATTCCCCTCCAACTCCTCTTCACAGGCATTTGTCATTACCATGTTCACAAACTTCTCCTTGTTGCCAGAACTTCGTTTTCCATACCTAAGAAAATGTTCTCTGGGGTAAAAGGACCACAGAATAGATTCTCCTAGAGTTTTACAACCTGAGATCTGCCTGTTTGATATGGGCTCTTCTTCTGTCTTTTAACTGTTGTTAAAATGATACATATCCAGAGTGAAAATAATCCAAAAGACAGAAAAGTATAAGAGAATTATCTGAAATCCCATCATCTATAAATGACAACTTAACTTTTTTTTTTTAAGATTTTATTTATTTATTTGTCAGAGAGAGAGCAGAAGTAGGGGGACCTGCAGGCAGAGGGAGAAGCAGGCTCCCCGCTGAGCAGGGATCCCGATGCGGGGCTCCATCCCAGGACCCTGGGATCATGACCTGAGCTGAAGGCAGACGCTTAACCCACTGAGCCACCCAGGCGTCCCAACCTTTAACATTTTGATGAATATCCTTCCACAAATACACATAGTATATAATCATGCTGCCCTGTAACCTGACTTACTCATTCACAGTATGTCATAGGAGTCCTTTTTATTTTTCAATGGGATATTGCTCTTACCCACTACCTAAAACAAGAAACAAATAATCCTGCTGTTACTAGTAACAATTCACATGTTTATAGCTCTTTGTAGCTAAAAATCACTTGTACATCCTTAATCCTGTATCATCCTGAAGCTGGAAGGAAAATTCTGAGGAGTCCATCTCCCTTTCTTATGGGTTTAATTCTAATCATCCCTCACATTGGTGTAGTACTTTATGATTTTAAAAAGCATCTTTACATTACTTTATTTGATTATCACAAAGTAAGATGATTGAAAGTGAGACAAGTATCCACAATGCAAAAGTAATGCAAAATTACATTTACATAATATATTAATAATAGTTGCAACTGCATATATTGAGAAATTAGTGTGCGCTAGTCTCTGTGCTCAGTCCATTGCATGCATCGTCTCATGTAATCCTCACTATCCCCATCTTAGAGATACTATAACTAAGATTTAGAGAGCAGTGATTTGGTCAAATTTCCACACAAATCCAGGTGGAATTTTAATCCAAATGTGTCTGACTTTAATATTCCCTGGGGTTTTTTTAAAGATTTTTTTTTTTTTATTTTAAAGGGTGGGAGGGGCAGAAGGAGAGAGAGAATCTCAAGCAGACTCCCTACTGAGTGCGGAGCCTGACACCAGTGGCTCGATTGCGGGGTTCAGGGAGGTGGGCTCAATCCCAGGACCCTGAGATCATGACCTGAGCTGAAACCAAGAATTGGATGCTTAATTGACTTCACCACCCAGGCGCCCCAACATTCCATGTTTAATCACTGCATCATCCTGCATTTTATAACAACTAACCTTAGTGCAAGGTACAGCAGAGTGCTGTACAAAACACTCTAACATATATTGTTATCTCTATTTCATAGCTAAAGAAACCAAAGCCAGAGAGGTCAAATGATTTGCCTGAATCAGAGCCAGGACCCAACCATTTTGATTCTAAACCTGCAGCTCTTTCCACTACGCTGTGCCAGTCGCTTTCCTCTGACTAAAGGTGCTAAGTGTCAAAATGATCTTTCAGATCTCCAGAGAAAGGCACTCTTGGTAAGATCTTTCAAAAATCCTTCCTGCTGCAGTGAAATGGGTTTCTTCTTCAGAGGGAACAAAGGTCAGTCTCTTCCACAGAGACCAACCTCTTGGTCACATGCATGTGCCAGTTGCGAAGATATAAAGTTGTGGGAGCTCAGATCAGGTCCAAATTGTTCCTTCTTCATGGTTTCTTGTGCTTTGGATGTAGGGCAGAGTTGGTTTGTCTCATCCTATGCTTTCAGACAGGAAAGGGAGAGAGCATTTATTCTTGATGATACGAAACTAGAGATGATGAAACAAAATAGAATGAGATGCAGGGAAACCATTAAAAGCAGGGTGGGTGGAAGGCATATACAAGGAATTAAACAGCATCTTTTTGACATACAGGCAGAGTTGGTTTGTGGAGGCAATTAGGCAATGAAAATTAATATTTTTTTCTTTAAAGATAACAATTTTTATTTATAAAGCACTCCTTACTGGAATGGGCTCAAAGCATCTAATGGGTGCTGGCTAATTACCCCACCCAACAATCTGGCAGCCAGGAAAAGAGAGAGATAATTATCCCCATTTTGCAGGCAGGGAGACCGAGCCACAGAAGAGTGGTGCCTTGCATAAAACCAGAGAGCTGAAAATAGAAGGCAAGCCTCCTAATAGCACCCTTCCACCCCACTGTATGTTTATAGATGTAGACTCCTGAGGAAGGACAACCCACTTGCCAGAAAAAAGCAGCCGTCTCTCATTGGGAACTACAGCTCCCAGCAGACACCGAGAAGAGACAGGGCTGTGCCCCTAGTGCCCATTCCAGATTCCCAAATATGGAGAAGGACTGGGTTTTGGAAGAGGAACAGAATGCTCACCCTTGAAAGAGAGGGAGAGAAGGAGGGAGTATGAGGTAAGTTTGGAATATTTAACTCTATCACCTAAATGTCTGCCTGGTTTTGAAATAATAGCAGCCAAAGTCATGATCTTTTAATAAATCTTGCTAGAAGATCTCATTCTGTAAGCCAAGCAGTTACTTTAGCAGAACCTGTTTTTTCCTGAGATTAGATATGTGCTGGTTCAGTTCTAGGAGGTCAGAGACCCTTCCTCTGAGCCCAAGCAGCTCGGAAGGTGATGGTGGTGGTGGTGAGAAAGATTTCTGAGTGAAGAACAGCTCTGCTGTGATAGGAGCAGACATTCCAGAGGCTGGGGCTGGTGGCCAGTTTGCTGAACCCAAGCACGAGCAGCCCTGGGAGGACAAGGGTTACTCTTTTTCTGCTTTGGAGCCAGCTGAGCCTGCCTGGTGGGAAAGGCATGAAAGAACTCTTTCCCCCATTCTGTCTCATTCTGTCAACACTTATTAAAGCACCTGTGCTCAGGGCGCTGGGCTAGATGATGAAGGGGAAACAAATCCTAAGACCAGATTTCTGTCCTCAGGATGCTTACGACTGGGGGATTGGGTAGGTACAAAAGGAATGATGGAGCAAAGGGAAGAAAAAGACAATGCAAAGCAGCCTATTATTTATACTTTTCATCCAACGTTTAGTTATCAATTGATCACCCACCATGGGCCAGGCACTGTTCAAGCCACTTGGAATACAATGGTGAATACACCAAAAGCAAAAGCTTCTGCCCTTGTAGATATTACTGTCTGGTAGCCCCTGGATGTCTGGGGGAAGAGTCCTCTAAGCAGAGGGAACAGTGAGTGCAAAGCCTTGAGATGGATATGAACTTGGTGAGTTTGAGAGCAAGCCAGTGCAGCTAAAGGGGAGTGGATGAGGACAGCAGCAAGAAGAAGTGAAGTCAGAGAACTAGTCTGGGGTCAAATCACACAGGGCCTTATAAGGCTAAAAAGTGTGAATTAAGTTCTAATTGGGAAACCTTTGTTTTTAAGCAGTGGTTTGTTATGATTTAATGTAAAGTGCCAGATGAGGGGAATAGACCTGTAAAGGAGTTTGGAGAATAGAGGACAGGTATCACTGAGTTGGGATGGACAAGGAAGGCTTCCCAGCAGAATGAGATGCAAGCTGAGTGTCTGATCCATTTTACATTCTCAATAATAGTAGTAGCAGGCGCCTGGGTGGCTTAGTCAGTTAAATGTGTGCCTTTGGCTCAGATCATGATCCCAGGGTCCTGGGATCAAGTCCCCACTTCAGACTCCCTGCTCAGTGGGGAGACTGCTTCTCCCTCTCCCTCTGCCCCTCCCTCCTGCTCATGCTCTCTCTCTCTCAAATAAATAAATCTTTTTAAAAAATAATAAGTAGAAGCAATAAAACATTCTCTTGGGCTGTCACACTGAGTTCCCACACTCCCTCAGACATGGCAGACCCAGTAAATCCAAAATGAGCCATGTACCCAAATCCCAACAGCATTACCTCTCCAGCCTCTCATCTTTCCTTCTTTCCTATAGAGTCATTGCATTTGGAATAGTATTGCCCTTTAGTTCCCACACTAAACACAACTGGCATACAGCTGCAAACAGCTGCCACACCCTGCCCCACGCAGCAATTGCCCATTTTCAAGAACCAGTGAAGAAATTCTTGACTTTAGCATGGTAGTCTCAAAGTATGTGGACAGAATCCTTGATTCTCTCATCTCTCCAAGAATGCCATAGCTGAGAACCTCTGCCCACCTGCCTTTTTCTCACTTTCCCTTCCACCAGTACAACTGCTCTGCTCACTCCCGCACCTAGGCTCAGAGAGGATGCAGCTGTGACTGAGAGCTGTAGCCACTGATCGCCCATTGGTGGCCCAGCCCATAAGACTCTTGAGGAGCGTGGACTCATCCCCTCTACCAGAAGTGCTTGCCCAGCACCTTCAAGATAGGTCCCTACCTACTTTCCCAGCCTTATTTCTCATACCCACAGCTCCAGGCATAAAGCCCTTGGCCATTTTCCTGACCAACCCTGCTCTCTCCACAACTGGGACTTTGAGCAAATTAGTCCCTCTTCTTGGGAGCCCTTTCCTACTTCCTGGACTGAACTAACCCTCCAGAGTTCAGCTCAATTATCATCTCCTCTGAGGAGGTTCTCCTGAATCCCTTTTCACCTTAGGGAGATTAAGTGCCCCCCTATCTGTGTTCCTGTAACATCCTATACTTAGCTGTGCTCTAGCTCGCTGTTTACTTAAATTAGTCCCCCACTAAACTATTAACTCCCTCAGGGTAAAGAGCTGTGTATTTTATTTCTGTATTTCCAACTTCTAACCCAGTGAAGTGGTGGTGATCATTTGTTGAATTAATAAATGGCCAGGATCCTTTGGCCTAATAAGTAACCAGGTCTCCACCAGTGAGGTAAAATAAAGTAAGGCCATGATCTGTTTTATGGGCCAACTACCTGTCTTATTAACGAACACACCCATTTCCTAGAAAATTCTCCACCTACTCTCTCAAGCCCTCCCTTGTCCTTCCCCCATCCCCACCCAGTCATCACCCCCACATCTTGCCACCCTCTACTCTAAGGCTCCCTTCAGTATTCATTGGGCTAAGTAGACACTAGTGTCTTTCTGGATTACCAAGAAGAGAACATCTTGTTTTCTTGGATGTCAACATTCCCTTTCTTCCTCAATCAGGAGAATGTTGGCTTCTGGCACCATTTCCAAACTGTGTGATGTGCAATAAATGAAAGAGACGACTGAGTTCTCAGTGTCCATCAGACTCATGCATGTGGCATACAGTGCTGCCTCTGAGGACCAATATATGTGAGGTTCGACGTGTCCTTTTTTCTAGCTAGGGCAGTTCATCCTAACAGAGCCAGAACCCAAAGTGCTATGCAGGAAATTGTTTGGAGAATAGAGTCTGGATCAGAAAAAGTGTCCTGGAGTGTGGAGAGAGCTGTAGCCTGGGTCAGAACATCTGAGTTCTCTTTCTGGGTAACACAGAACAAGTTACTTACTCTTTGATCCCCAGTTCCTTTATCAAGGAAAGGGGACGAGGGGTAAGGATAGAGAAATTACAGGATGCCTGGGTGGCTCAGTCAGTTAAGCGTCTGCCTTCGGCTCAGGTCATGATCCCAGGTTCCTGGGATGGAGTCCCGCATCAAGCTCCCTGCTTGGTGGGGAGCCTGCTTCTCCCTCTGCTTGCCCCTCTCCCTGCTCGTGCTTGCACTCTCTCTCTGACAAATATATAAATAAAATCTTTTAAAAAAAAAGATAGAAGGATTAGGATAAGTAAATTCCCATTCCACTGACCTTGTTAAGTTACAAAGATAAAATGCAGCCTAAGTATTGAGGCATCTGTGAGGATTCTCTGTGATTCCCATTGTCTAAATCGACTTCATCAAAATCTTGGCAAGATCGTTCCCAGCCTAGCTGTCCTCTCCTAATATGAGCAATCTCAATTCCATTTTTCTGAATTTTCTTTCTCATCACTGGACCTTTGCAAACTCCATGCCCTTAACTTAAAATGCTTGGTCTGATCATCCCCACCCCCAGATTTTAGGTCAACATTAAAAAGGAGAGACTGTGTCTTATTCACATCATATCTTCAACAGTTAATGCATCACATGGACACAGTGGTTGTTCAGCAAATATTTGATGAACTTATGAAGTTTCTATGATTGCCCTCCTCATCCCTGCTTATTTTTTCATTGCTAGCAAGATGGCAATCTTTCTGACCTCATCCTGTGGGAATACCACAGAGATTAGCTAATTAATAAGGGTAAAGTTCTCCTGACATTTGTGTCAATGTTTAACAGAAATAGCTGGGCGTGTGGTGACCCAGGGAGACAAGAGTGAAATCCTATGGTCTTCTCAGACCATCATGACATCAAGTTGCCCCTGTTCTCCTCTCACATCACAGACCCTCAGTGGGAGGCCTGACTCTTGATCATCATTGTTCCCTGGACTCTACTTTCTTCTCTTGGCAAGACCTAACCCCAGGGTCCAGCCTGGAGCCTAAACTGCACCCCACCATCTCCTGTGGACGTTGTCTCTCCCTCTAGGGTATTCTTGCAGCTGTCAAACAGCTGGAGCCTTTGGAAGCACCACAGGGTCTGGAGGCCACGGTCACCTGTTGCCAAGCTTTCCCTCCTCTCTTCCTCTTTCCTACATCAGATGTGGGGATCTAGGAATATGAGGAAGGGCAGTTTACTTGGTTCTTCCCTATCACAGAAAAATGGAGTGGAATGGTCAGTGGCAGTGAATAAACCAAAGCAAAAAACCCATGCCAGCTAGAGACCATTGGGAAAAATCAGCAATCCATGAATTATCCTGTTTACACCAGAAATGATAGTTTGGACCTTTACTTAATAGATTGTCCTGAAATGACAGTCCATTCATGAAGATAAATGCATGAAGCTATGTTTTAGGCCCTCCTTATTCACAGAAGACTTTGGCACCAAACTTCTAGTCTTCCACTCTATGCCAAGTCTTGCTATCATCCTGGGTAACTTCAATGTCAAACAGATCAATTATTTACAAACTAGGGATCACAAACCATTAGTGTGTCATGATTAAGAAGATTGTGACTAGAATATTTTTAAGAAACAGAATGAAATAAAATAAAATATCACATGTAGAAATGGTTGTTTGGGGTAAAACATTTATTTCAATAATATAATAGTATGTATTATTATTATATAACATATACTAATATGTATTATTTCAATAACAACACATACATGTGTACTAGTCATGATGGAAAATACATTTCTTTTTTTAAGATTTATTTATTTATTTTGAGAGAGAGAGAGAAAGCACATGGTGGTGGGGGGGGCAGAGAGAGAGGGAGAGAGAGAGAATCTCAAACAGACTCCCCACTGAGCATGACACAGGGCTCAATCTCATGACTCTGAGATCATGACCTGAGCTGAAACCAAGAGTTGGACGCTCAACTGACTGAGACACCCAGGCGCCCCTAAAATACATTACTTATTGTGGGCCATAATCAAAAGCTTAAAATGGATAGGAGTACATA